ACATGTCTGATGATCCTTCTGTAATTACAAGCTCCCTAATGCTGCCAACACGAGTTCTATACAAAGAGTTAGGTAGAAAGTACCTTGCCCTTTTCTGAGCCCTTACAATCTCTTATGCAGGTAGCAATCACAAGTCATTGAAGGGAAAGAAAGAATATTATTTATTTGTACTTTTGGGAAGAGACTGCAAGATACTACTCAGTTCACTTCAAAACTGGTGATGTCTAAAAATAATCCTCCTTATCCAACACATTCTTACACAAGTTCCCCCAAAGGGGTTAATCAACAATAGCAGCAGATTCTTAGGTTTAGCCTAAAAATTAACTGACTTAAGAAAAAAATGTTAAGAGGCAGACAATTTTTCAGACATTTTTGAACACAGACCAAAGAAAATTTATTTCTGCCTCACCACACTCTGTCATTAAGACTGTAAGCAATAGATTCCAGAGATCTCTGAATTTAAAAGATGAAGCTGCTGTGTTGGTTTGCATGGTAGTTGACTTGTGTAGTTCATTTATAACAGTAGCAAAGCTGCTGCAAAATCAACAAACCTTTAATACAGATTAGGTAGAATATTAATTTCAGTAATAATTGAGTACTTGGGGGCTTGTTTGTAAAGGTACTAATGTATTATACATCTGATGTTATGCTTAAGAGAGGTTAGAGGACTTTGAAGCCTGACAAGACAGAAACACATGCACATTGCATTATCAGCAGGGTATATGAAGGCTGAACTTCTAAGACACTTAAGATCAACCCAGAAAAATGTGTGTGTGTGGGGAAATGGACAGCTTATACTGTAAAGCTGCTCTTTGAAAGCAAACAAACCGTATCTACCTTACTTAGGAAAAGAAGTCACAAAAGCATCTGCAATATAATAATGCAACCAACTGATTATTAACATGTACTGAAGTCCTCTCCTCTTACAGATAAAGACATACATGTACTGCTGGCTTAATCTATGCATACATCTGAAGGGATGACTAGCAAGTCTCAAATAACTGCTCTCAGGCAACTTAAAATAAACACACCAAACCAACCCAAAAATGAAAACCAAAACCAAACCAAACATACCAAAACACACAAACAAACAAACCACCACTCAACCCTTTTTTGCATCCTCAGTTGTTGATGCATTTTCAACACTTTCTAAATTTCCACTCTCAGTCTTCAGTCCTTTCAGTCCAAGCTTAATTCTGTAACTGAACAAAGTCAGCAGTTAAACAGAAAAAAAAGAGGTCACCTCCTCATGTGCGTAAGTAGGCAAGGCTTTGTGTGTGTGAGAGAACTCATCCCTGTTCTTCTGTAAGTAATGTTGTGGAGGTATACTACACATAGGGACAACTGCTAGTTTTGAATAAACTGTTATGAAGAAAAGTATGAGAATCTGCTTATGACACTAACTGTACACAGGATTTTTCTGGTAAGGGCAACTGGAAATTTCTGAAGAAAAAGGCAAGAAACCAAGATAAGTAAGTTCTAAGTGAGGACTTAATATTTCACACATCACAATCTCTTTTAGTTACTAGGATGAGCTTAACAATGAGTCTATACATGATAATATTAAACCTACAGCTGAGAGATCGGACCACATAGCACCATATAAAGTTCCCCTTATTTAATAAGGGAATTATGAAAGTAAGCAGAGGCCTCAGATGCTTCAGGTTTTAAACTTAACAAACATCACCAAAAAAAGTAACCAAGCAATACAATCTTTCATCTGTGTATGATCCAAATAGCACATATGGAATAGGGCTTGTGGAAACACTGAGACAGACGGGGGGAACAAGCCAGGTTGCCCTGTTTGGCTTCAAGCTGCTGCTCCAGCAGGATGCAGATCTTCTGTGCATCTTGTGTTATGCCTGTCAGTCCTACATGGCTGTCAAAGGCTATGGCAAAAGGTCTGAAGTTTGAAAACACAATTGAGTTTAACTGTTCAGACATGTACCTGAACACCTAGAAGTCACTATTTTCATGCAGTGAAGGGCTATTGACGTGGGCAATGCAGCTGCAAATATGGCAGGGTATAAACTGGTTGTAAAACCCTAAGTATATGTATTCATTACAAACAGTAACATATACTGCAAGAGAATGACTTGATACCAAATCACACACGGATATTGTAACCAGCTGTACCTTTTTTTTTTCTGACACTGGACTCCTGTCCAGTCTCTCTCTGATGTTTGAGCTGTAAACATTCCTATCTTTCTTTCCTTCCGTTTTCCCTCCCACAAGGTGGCGATCCAAGAGACCCTTGGGTAACCTGGCTGCATACTGTACAGCAAGGTACAGATTTGCTTTTAGGAAAGGCAAGAAAGAACAGTATTTCAAAACACTTCCTTCTCCTCTACCTCATAAACCAACACCTTCCCTAAAAGCTAATTCTAGGCAAGCATACCACCAAAATTATGGCTGCCACCAAACTATTTTCATACGAACACATCTATGAAGATATATATTTAAACACACTTCTCCCTCCATGGCTCAAGCCAGTTTGATTAATACAGGAAATTCCAGAGACTTTTTCAATTTGAAAACCCTGGAAGGCACAAAAGGCAGCTGACTAACCGTTCGGGCTCCACAGAGGACACAGAACTTACCTTTAGAGAACATACTTTATTTAATAGAAGTTTTTTGCTCCAATATACAAAATAGGGGACTGTAGTCCCAATTAACATTTACATAGTTACACAGCAAGTAATTTCCACCATTTACAACAACTGACAACTTTTCCACACTCCCCACTGTATTACAGCCAAGAAAAAAAAACCCTATCATGTTTTACATACCGATCAGTTATATTTTGTACTTCCCTGCCTCTTTTTTTTTTAAGTTGCAGGTTCTGATATCAGTATAATTAAGAATTTACAATTATTTCAGCTGCACTAAAAGAAAACCAAAATATATAATTTGGAATACTATCTCAAAAACCCTATACAAAATAAAAGTCAGTATCTTATAAAAATACATTGCAGGAGTAAAACCAGGGATACAACAAAAATGTTTTACGTTTTGTTAGGGTATAAAATGCTTAGCAACTAGTCTCAGCTTTTAACTACACAAAAAAAAGGAAACCAAAAAAAGGAAAAAAAGACCAAACATTTTCAATTAGCAAAAAGTAATGTGACAGTTCTTTTACAATACTGTACCTTTAGTATGCAAAGGACTTCATCCTTCTAACATGCACCATTATCCAATTGATTCACCCCTTAACCCTTTTCCCACTGAAAGCTGAAAAAAGGTTTTAAAATTATTTTAATCCTTTAAGAAAAATCCAATATTTTCTGCATCTTTCACAATATTTAAGTTTTCCTTTACAATGCTGGTAGTTAAATAATGATATATAATTTTCTATAAAAGAATCTTGCCAAACCAAGGCTTTAGAAACTTTGCATTTTACAAAAGCAATTTGTTACAGCATGACAGTTGCTAAATAGCCCAATTCACTTTGTGACCCTGTTAAAGATTTGTTCAACTGAATGAATAGGTGAAGTCATTTCCTGAGCTAAAAGATACAGGTAAGTAAATAGTCAGTTATAGCAGCAGACAGGAGACATTCATTTAAAAAGTTGTAACAGTATCAATAAAATAACTTTAGAAAATTACAGTAACATAAGAATCACTAGCTGAAGAGAGAGTGATAAGGACATTAAAGACCTGATTGCCATTATCTGGAATGCACATCCCATGACTTTCCAGAAATTACATTCAGCTACTGTCAAACAACAAACTGTTAAGTGAAAGAATGTCAAATCACAATAGTTCACATTTCTCACAGATCAGGTGTTTTGTCAAGATTCAATTCTTAATGCTGTTTCACAAATGTAAAGCAAGGTAAACTGCTTAGTTTCAGAAACTGTCATCCTACAGGACTTAAGTATTATTATTTTAAAGGAATGTAGTATTTTGGTCTCATGAAATTCTGAGCCTGTTTCTTTTTATTACTCACACATAACTGATACTTGAGACCTTGAGTGATTTTTAAGATAGTTACCCATGCCACAGAAGTCGATCCATATTTAAAAGAGTAAATAATATTTTGAAAATGGTTTATTTTGCTCCAAACCATTCTAATGTGCTTAGAGTATAAAACAATAACAAATTATTAAAGAACTAGAAAGACGAGTATACCACCACTGCACCATCAGTTTCTTATGATACACATTCCTAAAGTCTTCTATGTAATAGTTTGATGACTGGAACATCTCCCTTATGAGGAAAGGCTAAGGGAGCTGGGTCTCTTTAGCTTGGAGAAAAGGAGACTGAGGGGTTACCTCATCAGTGTTTACAAATATGTAAAGGGTGAGTGTCAGGAAGATGGAGTTAAGCTTTTTTCAGTGATGTCCAGTGATAGGATGCAAATTGGAGCATAGGAGGTTCAAGGTGAACATCAGAATTATTTTTTTTTACTGTAAGAGTGACAGAGCACTGGAACAGGCTGCCCAGGGAGGTTGTGGAGTCTCCTTCACTGGAGACATTCAAAACCCACCTGGATGCGTTCCTGTGTGATGTGCTCTAGGAGACCCTGCTCTGGCAGGGGGGTTGGACTAGATGATCTTTCGAAGTCCCTTCCAACCCCTAAGATTCTGTGATTCTATGATTTTATTTTTATTCATTAATAGAAAGAGGATATTCTAATATAATTAAAGTACCTCATTTAGATACCAGTTCCTCCAGAAGGAAATCTCTCTTCTGTGTTATTAATTTTTTACAGACATTGTAGGCATTGTTTTTAGAATTTGTTTGCTCTTGTGTAACATTTAAACATAACTTTTAATTCAAATTAATATATAAAATTTCCAATACTTGTTAGAATAAAGGACAATACACAAGATCCTAAGTTACAATAATTTATAAATAAAAATAAACTATTACAAACCAAATCCTTCCCCATACGGAGATTAAAATCTTTATTGATTGTTCCCGATCATATATTATAAATAACTTAAGCTTCTTCAGAGAAGCAAAACATACTTGCCTCCCTGACACCCGTTTGTATCTTCAGTTAAACTACTACCATCAAGAAGGCAATTGTGTTGGGCCCAGCTATATCTTCTTGCTTACAGGTTAAAAACCTCCCAACCTCATTCTTTTAAACTTAAGCACAGGAAACTAAGTTCACAGAGAGTCCTTTACATTTTACGCACAAAGTCTGTATAAAATACAGTTTTCTAATGCTCCTACTGCACCAATCTGGCAGTGCAGTTCAAACTCAATTCAAATTCCACTGAAGTCCATGAAAGGTTCTCCAGTGACCTTAATGGGCTTTGAATTAGGACCATAGAGTATTACCTAACAGAAAGCTCCTGCAAGAGTGGCTGGTATCTCTCTTTTTGCTTATGGGGTGCAGTGGAGATGTGTAGTCAGCATGATACCTGAGCAAATAAAATCCAAATGATACAAAGGTTTTAAGAATCCCAAACGCTTTCCTTAGTTGTGTGCAAACTCTGCTACTGCCCATGGAGCTCCCTGCCTTCCTTTTTTTCAGTGCTTGCTCCATTCCAAGTTAGAAAGACGTGAGGCATAACCACCTCCCTTCGCTACAGTTCCTCCTCAATCCCGAGACTGATAGAAGAGGATGTAACCAGACTCTGAGTTCTTTGAGATGTCTGATGTTAACCCGTAGAATTCTTCAATAGCTTGTGCATCAATTTTCTGTGTGTAAAAACCCAAATATTTAAATTAATAATATCTCCCATAACATATGCATGGCATTCAGTTTCATTCTAAAAACTACTGTAGAACAAAAATAACTTTAACGTAATTACATAAAGTAATAAAATCCAAATAAAATTTTAAACTCGTTTTGTTTCATTTTCCCCTCTGCCACCAACTGCACATAGGGCAGTGGATACATACAATTCACATAGACATTTTATTAAGTGAACCTACTATGAATGCAACCTAATACGCAGTGCTCATACAGGTAAGTTTTAAAAACAACAATATCCCATTGAGACTATTCAATATGAAGAATGTCAGTACAGACTATCCTTTCTAAATCTAAGCAGTGTAACCCAATCAAGCACAGAGGAGAACAAGGAGAGGGCTGAGAGAGAAGGCTAACCTCCTCTCCTGTTTTTACACAGAATGTTTGCCTGTGACCCTGTAAGCTTGTAAAGCCTCTATAACCCAGATTTGTGGAAAGATGCAAAACTTCTGCTAAGAAAATGAAAAGAATATTGTCTAGTTTTCATTGTCATCATTTTCACCTACAAAAGAAACTGAAAACAATCTCTTGCCACATGTTTAATCAAGGGCAATTACACTACAAACAGCAAAGAGGTGAAAAGATACATTTTTCTTCACTTGGGCAGGTTTTACTCCACCTCAATCCCATCATTTGTAACAAAATCTCTCTCAGCAAGGAGTGAGCCATTCCAAATTGATGAACCATGAGCCTAAATATCAATGAAATGTTTTAGATCTAAGAATAAGGAAGATTCCTTCGTCCTCTCTTCCTTTTTAGAAGTGTCAGGAAAAAAACAAACAAACCCAAACATTAATGCCAGGTGTTACTATTTTGTAACTGGACAGATTGCCCTTGATGTTTGTGAAATGCTACAAGATCTACTACAGTGCTGGCTGTTTTTCCTGGAGGAAAGTCAACTTTTGACCTTATTGGGACATTTCCATTTACTGTGTGTCTTGTTAAGGCACAGAGGCAATCCTTCTACTTTCCCAACCATTCTGCGTATTTCCATGTTGGCCATTTCCTGTGTGAAAAACTGTCCATCATGTGGCTTGGAGAGAAGACCTCTTTAATACCCTTGACTCAGCTGGCCAATTAACAATGGAAGTCCAACACCTGTTTCACTAAATTTTCTTCTTTTAAATGATGCAGTTCTTGTGCATTGTAAGAAAAACATGAAGTATTCATTTTATAGCTTTAAGTAATTCAAATAAAGTCAGGGAAAAGACTTGGACAGCACAATCATACTTCTGGTCATGCGCAAGAATAGACAAGGGGGGAAAAAGGAAGATGACAGAACCAAAAAACCTGAGATGATGTAAGGACAACACCAGTCTCTGCTCTTTCTCTCAATTAAGAATAAAATGTAACTGACGAAACAGAAAGATGACAAAGTCAAAACAGGTGAATAGAATTCTGCTGTTCCAGGAAATTAGTTAGAAACCTATTTTTTAAGAAAGAGTAAGAACTGGAAGTATGGCTAATATTAGCAAGAATACCAGTGGAGGCAAAAGGCTCCTGTTTCAGGGGCCTTTTAAGTTTTAGGGCAAAATGTCAAAACCCCGAAGTTTCTTCCTATTTTGATATTTGTTACACCTTTGTCTGAAACAACCCAGGACAGTCAATATAACAGGTTACCAGACTGATCCATTCCATGAAATCATAAACTCCTACAAAACCAGAGCAAATGGCTTGCTCCAAAAAATTGCCCTCAGAAAAAAAATGCAGTAAAATCAGTGTATCTGTATCTTCATTTGCCATGTTTCCTGGCCACAGAAATAGCTTATTAAACAAAAGGGAAGGACAGTGGCCATAAATAGAGAAGCTAATTTTTAAAAGTATAAAAACCAAAATGCAACTCAAAAGATTGAACAATCAAATTGTAAAGCACAGCTCTGCACTGACAGTTATTGCTCATTTAGAGACAAGTTGAACCCCCTATTCATTAGCACACTGGTCCTTTTCCTTTAAGTAATAATATACACAAGGGGGTGCATGTGCTCTGGTTGATACCAGAAAAAAGTCCAGGGTTATACAAAGCTTACCTCCACAATATCATCATCAAAAAGCAACCAAAAATCATGACTCTTCACTATTGCAATATAATGTCCTCTGTTGGGGCCACTGTAAAATAAAATTAGGAAAAACCACAGAAAATAACACACATGTATGTACAAATGTATTTCATGAATAATTTTTTTCTTGTAGAAAAGCAGTACTTAAAGAATAATTAAAACAGCTACCAGTACAATTTCTATTAGAAAGTTGGCTTTCTTTTTCCCCATCCACTTACATCAGCTCTATGATGTCTTACTTATCTTTACATTTAATATTGTGCTAAAAAAAGGATTAAAATTTCACACAAGGAATAAGGACCACAGGCATTGAAAATATAAATGAAATTTAAAAAAAGAGAGAAGTGAAATCAAGAAAACATTCTGAGGTTTTATAGGGACTGAACAGATACCAAACTATTGCTTATCTTCAGATAGAAAAAGTTTTGCTGTTCATCTACAGTCTCAATCAGGAATATCTCTATCTGGTCCACCATAAACAAAACTGGATTAAACTGGCAGTTTAGGAGCCTCAAGAATCCTCACAGCAATGACAAGGGTCTCCAATTAAACTGAAACTTATAATGCACAGCTGCAGTTTATGGCAGAGAAGAAATTTCACCACAACTAAGACAGAAAAACCACAAAACTTTTAAAGTGTCCTATTTCTAATCAGATTTCAGAAAAACAAATAATACATTTTCTGAAACAGCTGAACCTTAAAAACTGTATGTGAACAACTAGGTAAAGTAGTCCTGGAATGGTCTTAACTGGCTAAAAGCACATTTTTTATGTCTAGATCAGGGAGGGAAGGTTGCCACCTGTGAGGGGCATGTCTGTGCCCCAAATTATATTACCCAGTGACAACAGAGCTTATCACTCTCCACAGCTCTGAGAATGGGTAAGTTTCCAAGACTGCAGCTTGAATGAAGAAGAAAAAAATGGTCAGAACTGGACAGAATGGTCAGAAATAGACTGGTTATGTTTCCATAAAATACATAATGAGGGTGTCCCAGAAGACTATGGCACAAAGGCTTATTTCCCAAAACTGTCCTGACTAAGCTGAGATCTAGCCATCTACTTCTTGGCCTATTAAGGGAGGAATGGGGGTGGAACAAAGGGCAGTAACTGGCAACCAGAGGTCAAGTCTGACATTTGAGGGACTTCAGAAAGTTGGAAGAATGGGCTGGTAAGAAACTCATGAGATTTTAACAAGTATGAATGCAAAGTCTTGTGTGACACTAACTCCAAACAACAACACCAGCTGCAGACCAGCTGTCTGCAGGGCCCAGGAAGCTGACAAGATGAGCTGTTAGGAGGCAGCGCATCATTTTGGTGACAGGGCTGAGTGTATGTGGGGCTGCACTGCAAGAGCAGAGCCAGCAGTGAAGTGATAATCCCCACCACTCACCAACTGGGTCCCAGAACTGGTCATGGAATCCCAGACATGACTTTGTCTGTTTAAGGAAAAGACTGATAAACTGGGGGAAGTCCAGTGGCAGGCCACTACATTTGTGAAAGGGTTAGAGTACCAAAAGGATGAAGAGAGGCTGAGGGAGCTGGCTTTTTTCAGCCTGGAAAAGACTAAATGAGGAAACCAATTGCTGTCTTTCACTACCCAAAAAGGAAGAGTTTTAAAGAAATCAGAACTGGGCTCTTCATAGAATTGCACAGAGAAAGGACAATAAGCAGTGGTCACAAAGTGCAGCAAGGGAAATTCTGACTGGATATAAGGAAAAAAAACAAACTAAACCACAACAACAAAAAAAAAAGAGAACATCGCTGGACTGAAACTAATGGCTGAAAGAGGCAGTGAAATCAGCATTCCTAGTTAAGAAACTGAGCACAGTGCAACCTAATCTAATGTCAAAGCTAGTGTTGCTTTGAGCTCTGAAGTAGTTGACATCACAATGTAAATTATTCTAGGATTCTAGATGTTTAATTAGTATTTTACACTTCAAGTCTTTTATCTATACAATCCGCTGTTTGTACAGCAGCCCTGATTTTAAGATATGAAACTATAAAAACATTTGTTGAATATAGCAAAATTACATACAAATTTAATAGTCATACTTTGGAAGCAAGGAAACAATGTAATTGCATATATATCAGAAAATGTTGCTCAAGCCTCAAAAAAAGCCCACGCTAAAGGAGACGCTTTACAAAGAAATCTATTCTATCATGCTTCCCTTCCTAAGACACTTTTTTATCATCTCTAAATATTATTAGTTATATGATATTGCATGGTTCATGTTTTTTTATAAATATAGTTATGTTCATACAAAGATCCATCATATGAAATACACTGTCACTATTTTCCACAAATAACTATCATGGCAAAAGCCATATGTTCATTAGGATTGGTATCATCTCCCTGCAATGCTTACTTTCCTAAGAAACTATCCTTTTAAGAGATCTTTATATGCAATTACAATTATTCGATACTGCATGTTTTGGCTTTTAAACATAGTAACTTATCAGCCCCTTGTGCAAAACAGAGTTATTACCTTCCACAATGAACTACCACAGCAACAAGGTCATACATTCTGTCAGGATTGGTGGCATCTCCTGAGGTGTTAAATAAACGCAGCTCTAGAGGAAAAACTACTCTATAAGAGAGTTTTGTGTATCGATGCAGCTGATCCATGTATTTAAATCTTTTCAAATGGAGAGCTAGAATCATAGGCAGCTTTTTTACTTTCATCCTAAAAGAAAAACAAACAAACAACAAACCAACAGTATTTCCAATATCCAGCCAAAACATTCAGTTGATATCAACAAACAGGAAAGCTGTCTTACTGAAGTCTTAAAAAAATAGTTTGTGAGCATTAAAAGAAGCTCAAATAATCAGCCATTTAACAAATATTGAACACAAATACTATGTTGCTAAACTAAAGGTGTATTTTAACATTTGAGTGAATTGCAAACGCATTAAAAAAAATAAGCTATAATATATAATAAGAAGAACAGCCATGATGAACCCACATAATAATTTAGCCACGACTGTGTAGCACAGAATTTAACTTTTAAACAGCTCTTCCCATAGCTTTCTTGAGCTCCCAAAGGAAACCTCAGATCCCACCTGGCATACTGTGGAGGCTTTGCAACACAGTTCCTCCAGAGATCCTGTCCAGCTGAATTTCTCAGTAACCTCGCGAACTCAAACAGGCTTTTTAAAATAATCTTTTTTACACCACTTTGTTACATATGTATTACTTCAAGTTTTCCAACCAAGCCATTCATTTAACACTGCCAAGGGACACAGATACCTCACTGCACACCTTACCTCCTGCTGCCCAAACAAGATAATGCTGTGCTCCAGCACAATGATTTTGCAGAAACGTTGCAGCGTTATTTTATGGCAGTCAAAGTGATAATCCAGTTTCACCCAGGGCTCACTGGCCCCTTTCCCTAATGCGAGGTATTGAGATGTCTCATCAGTGCCTACAAACCCTCAGCACAGCCACAGCTGGCCTGGCAGCAAACCACTCTCTGGGCAGTAATTTGCCCATACTAACAGAGCAACCCAGAGAGAGCACTCTGCTTGTTGGTCAAGCTAATTGCCTGAGATCAACTCTGTGCTGATTTTTTCAAACTGCCTTCAGCTCCAGAAAGCAGCTCAAAAGTCTCAACAACACAGTCAGGTTTCAGAAATGCCTACTAAGGCTGTATTTTCAGAGTGCCAGGAAATGTTTGTACAAGACAATCCTTTTCCAAAAGATAAGAGGCTGGGGATAAAATCCTTGAAAACTCATCTTCCTTCTCTTTTTCTCATTAAACTTAGACTGACAGCAAACTGTAGGAAATCCTGCTAGACTCAAATTTTCCCCGTGGCTGGTAAGGGAACTAGGAAATGAAACAAGCTAGAGAAGAGCAGAAAGATATAAGAAACAACTATTTTTAGGGAGTTTCGTTTTTATTATATTACTGAGATATGGATATAATTTCTGCCCTATTTCTGTTTTCAAAATAAAAGTCCTCCTCTTCTAATGCAACTGTATTTGATAATAGGAGCTCTTTCACTGGGAAAGAAATTCAGCATACCACCTCTGCTAGCTGAGTAGACACTATCACAGATAAGCTCCATGTTACAGGCATAGAAGAAAATTCTGACCATAGTGTAACTGAACTTAAGCCCAACATGAAAAGCAAAACATAAACAACAAAATCTGTGTTTTGCCAATAGGGCAGTGCCTACAGCACAGGTTTATGAAAACACAGCTTATATTGGTCAGGGATCACATTACCTCTCACACAGAGAAGGAGCTAAGGCAACAGAAAACAACAGGACAGACTTGGCTTCATAACCCTCTAATACACACCAATTAGTAAGCTTAGGCAACATGTGATGGCAGACTTTGCAGATGAGAATGCCAAAAGCCATGTGCTGAATCTATGATAAACCAAATAAACACAATCAGTAGTATAACCAGTAGAGCATGTTAGTGTTCTCATCCCTTCAACGCTTCTATAAGCAGCCAAATACTTTCTCAGATAATAAATACCACACAGTATGCAAAACCAGAGTTGGTTTTGGGTTTTTTTTAAAGATGTAAACAAGACTAGAAGACTTATAAAGCAGATGAGAGTTTTTACACAAAGTGAACTTCAGGCTTCCACAAAGCTTCTGGTACTTTTCAGGAGCGCTGTCAAGCAGAAGTTTTGCACAACTAATTATGCACTACTAAGAAATCAGACACTCAGTTAACAAAAAAAGTTAAAAGCCTCCTTCTGACTGAATCAGAAATAAAGTGCTATCAAACTGATTCTTACAGGAACCAGAAATATTATTTCATTATCAAGACAAAATCAGTGACTTTTCAGCATTACCCATAATCTTTGATTAGTCACTGTAACTTTGTTTTAACCCATCTTTTTAACTTTTTTTTTTGTCTTAACACCATTCTCCTTCTTGTTTGTAAAATAATGATCAAATGATCCCAAAATGTTTTGCATGGATTCTCTTTACTCATGGATATAGGTTCACTGAATTCAAGCAAGAGGAGGAATGCAACAAAATTACTCTTAAGTGAAAGAAAAGTGAGAAAAACTATGGGAAAAAGGAAGTTCTCTCCCTGCCTCATAGGCACACACAAGGACATACACAAGCATTTTCATTAAATGTATGGGTTATTTTTTCCCTTCCTGAGCCTGTTGTACCTTTTATGTGCTTCTTGCTTACTGCGACATTCTTCACAGTAATACTTGTATTCACTGCAAAGAGTTTCTGTATTGCTGAAACCCCTGAATAAAAAAAAAAAAAGACAAAAGATAAATGCTATAGATACAAGTTTCTTACCTGAAATACACATATAAACATGTACAATATAAACAGAATTTCATACTCTTAAGTCTACATAAGCTAAAATTTCCTAAGCTTGTGAGCTTTTAATTTTAATTCCTGCTTTTTAGGTAACAGGTGAAACACAAAGTATGAAAATTCATATATTTGCATTTACCTTAAACAATGAGTGATTGAAGTATTCTGCTCCACATCAACTGAAAGGTCTAAGAAGTCTTCATCTTTGCTGCTTATCTGCAGGAAAAAAAGAACCAACAGTTTATAGTTACAACTAGTTATACTATTTTGAAACACAGAATGCCAGGTTGGAAGGTACGTCAAAGATCATCTGGTTCAGCCTTTCTAGATAGAAACACAGTCTAGATATGATAGCCCACCACCCTGTCAAGCTGAGTCTTACAAGTGTTTAGTGATGGGGAATCCATTGCTTCCTTGGGAAGATTATTCCAATGGTTCAACTCTTCTCATAGTGAAATAAATTCTTCTGATGTCTAAGTGGGATCTCCCCAGGAGTAATTCGCACCCATTAGCCCTTGTCTTTTCCATGTGACTCCTTGAAAGAAAGAGAATCTGCATCTTTTTGGTAGCCACCCTTTTAAGTACTGGAACATGGCATTAAGGTTTCCCCTAAGCTTTTTTTTCTCCAGGCTGAACAAACCCAGTTATTATTTTCCTCATAGGGCAGGCTTCCCAGTCCCTTGATCACCTTTATGGCCCTTCCCTGGACCCCCTCCAGCCAGTCCACATCTTTTTTGTATAGCAGGGACCAGAACTGAACACAATACTCCAGGTGTGGTCTGACAAGCCCTGAGCAGAGCAGGATGATGACTTCTTTATATCTGCTGGTGATGCCTTTGCTGATGCAGCTCAGCATCCTGTTGGCTTTCTTTGCTGCTGCAGCACACTGTTCACTCATGTTAAGCTTGTTATTCAACAAGATCCCCAGGTCCTTTTCCACAGAGCTACTCTTCAGCCAGGTGGATCCCAGTCTGTGCTGCACTCCTGGATTATGTTTTCCTAGGTGCAAGACCTTGCACTTGTCCCCACTGAACTTCATAAGGCTCTTGTTGGCCCACTCTTACAGCCTGTCCAGGTCTTCCTGGAGGGTGATTCTTCCTTCTGGAGTGTCTACTTCCCCACCCAACTTGGTGCGGTCTGCAAACCTCATCCAGGTGCACTTGATTCCAATGTCCAGATCACTGAAGGTGACACTAAACAGCATTGGCTAGTACCAATCCCCTGGGGGACCCTGCTTGTGACCAACTGCTAGTTTGAAAAAGAACTGTTTACGACCACCCTCTGGGTACAGCCTGTCAGCCAGCTCCCCACCCACCACGCAGTCCGCTTGTCTAGACTGTAATGCAGCAGTTTGCCTCTGTTTTTCAGTACCATTTGCTATTGACAGAAGGCATCCTTTTCCTCACTACAAACATTAAAAATTGTTATAAGTGTTCCTTCTTTTTCAGAGATTTCCTACATCTCTATTTCCAATTTTGTTCAGAAAGAGGAAGAGGGAACTGTGTACGTGACTGTGAGGGTATATAATGCCAGTTGTCATTAAGCTGTGATTTCAGCTCAACAATGTTAATGCCGAGTTCCTTCTACACAACCCTCTTTTCAAAATAATACAGTCACTGGGATTCTTCTATTTAGTGCTCTCACCTCCATTCTTCCCCTATGATTCCCTCCAGCTTAAAGCTATGTATTTGTATATCATATGTCCCTAATAAAGTACACGTATATTTTTAATCCTCTTCCTGGCTACATTCATATCCTTAAACAAGAAGCAGACAGCAAATGTGTTGGTAAATGAGAGCTTGGGACTTGGTCTGATAGAGGCAGAACAGTGCATGGCCAGAGAGCAATTAAAGTAAAAAAGAAAATCCTAGAAGCAGAGAATAAATTCCATCACAAAAATGGTGATGGACAAAATCTACAGCTGCCCTGAAAATCAGCTATAATATTTAAAGGTTTAGAAAACACCAATCTGCAATCTGAACGTTTGTCAGCTAGTGTTTCTACATTGTATTTAGAGATATCCAATGCCACTGATGAGAATGTCCTCTGACCTTTATGACTCCTAGTTACTACGGTAAATGCTTCTAGAGAAGAGGCTTGGCTGCAGTTTCTTGATTGAAAATAGGAAAAGTTAAACAGCTACATGAGCACTAGTGTTCCTTTTCAACTCAGAATAAAAACAAATTTGCAAAGTTTTCTCTGATCATCAAGATATGAAAAACATTGTTTTTAAGAGCAGCATACAGGGAGAATAAGAAAAATACAGGAGGTCAAGACAACTGCTTTTGAGAATTAATACCATTGGGCAAATAAAAAAGCTTATGAAATTAGTTTAAAGCTTCTGTTAATATCTATGAAAGCACTGGGCAAGGATTCCTCTCACTCTTCTATAGCTAATCTTTCCAAGAGTAAGTGTACATGTTCAAAAATATGTCACTATGTCAGTATAAATCTACTACATCATTTAGATCCTGAGGTGTCATGTTTATACTTTTAAAGGGATAACAGAACACATAAGGAAAAATTCCAAGATGTTTTTAGGGTGGGGGAAAAAAAATCCATCTTCATTTTCTTTGTGCAGTGCACATTTCCTGTTTCCAGGTATGTACTACAGTTTAAGTGTGTGGACAATTGTTCAAAACATCCCATTGTAAACTGCTTTTGAACTTGAATTTGTAACACTAAGAACTCTGGTGGAAATAAATTATTTTAACCTCAGGATTAATAATGGCTCAGAAAAAAAACCAACAAACAACTCTAGAAAATACTCTGTTGCTCTCTTCAGCTCTGACAGCTGGAATTAAGGAGTCATGTGATTAGTGTTATTTAGACATGCAATCCTCTCTTGGTCTAATAAAAGAAAACGCAATGAAACAGTAAAGATTCCATAGGCAGCTTTATCCCATAGAGAAGCTGTGGGAGGAGATGGAGAAGAGGAAACAGAGATGTTGTACTTGGTTAAAAAGGTGATCAGTACAGAAATTAGCAGTCTGCAAAAGGATTTCTTCCATTCTTGGTGGTAAAGCTGCCTTAAATAACCTCTCTCGGGTTAGCCAGTCCATTGTGCACCTGGGATCATGAGGAATAATTTTTATTGAAAGAATAGCCAAATGAATTTTTTCCATCTATGTTGATAATTTAGAAATTGCTACCCTTAATTTGTAACATTTTTAATCATTAGTATTTGAGCAGTACCTTTTTTTTTTCCAGTATTAACTCATACATTTTTAAGAAAATAAAAAATTATTTTAAAAGTCACCATCCACTCCAACCAGGCTGTACTGGTTCTGTTTCAAATAAACATCACTAAGTTCCTTAGACTGAAGTCACCAGTGCTATTTATTTCACTCATCTATAGGATTAAAAAAAGATTGACATGGTCAAAAACTTCATCATTTCCAGAATCAAGCCCTTCAAAAAGCCACCTGAGTGCTCCTAATACTTAAGAGTGGATGGTGACTTTTAAAATAATTTTGCATTATATTTTGCATCACATTTTGCATCTGAAAAATGGTGAAGAAGTTGGGTGTTCTGGCTAAAGGGTATTTTGGTAAGCTGTTCTCAGTGTGGTCATGATCTGCACTCACACAGCTCAGCTGTACTCCCATGACCAATGCCACACAGAGCAGAAACCTCAGAAGGCCAACATGGCATCTGTAGTTCCTTCAGTTTGGAACTTCACAAGCAATGTGAATCAGCTCACTGACAGAAAAGCTTCTTCAGCTGTAGGCTCCCATGCATGCTAAGACAGAAACTAATTTTAATTTAAGCTGAAACAAAGGATCTGATTTATCCTGGTTTTGTAAAAAAAAAAGGGGGGGGAGTAGGGCACAGTTAAGGCTTCTATAGTACTCTTGTAAGAGAGACCACTGAGATTTTCCTTTTTGCCTTTCTCAGTCCAAAGTAGAACTGAGCCAAACAATTCTATGTTTATTTGAATGCAAGAGCAAGACTATAAGCTGGAGAAAAACATTGATATGTTTGGTGCTTTTGATCCAAGACAACTTCCTGTGTTTCTTGTAGAAGTACTTAGCCATCTAAAATTTAATTTTAAACAAGTCAATTATATTGTTTTTTGGTTTCCTGTTATTCTTTCCTTAAATTGTGAGGGAAGCCTGTAAAACAAATTAATTTCTAGATTGTTTTTATCTAACCACAAAAAACTGTAATATTTAGTTCATCATACTACCTCAATCAAGGAAGGGGGAAAGCATGATAACAAGAAATCACATTGAAAGCATGTAGACAACTTACAATCTATTTTGTAACTTATGTATTTCATAGTGTGATTTGATCCACAACATAAGTCTTTGTTAAAGAATCATATCTGTGTCCTTTATATTTCACTGTCCATACCTAAACTGAGGATAAATCTTGAGTCAGTTAATTTTTCATCAATGAGCCAAAAGCGTCTTGCTAAGAAGCTCTTTTCTATAATTAGGACAACTGAAATTAGAATAAAATCTTGCCATGCTGATTTTAGGAACTTTGACTAGGTTCAGTCAGTTAGAAGACGACCATTCTTACATAGAGCAAAGATATATTATGCTTTATATTTAACTATGTGTTAAATTCAAAATTTAAATAAAAAAATATACTAAGGTTACTGTCTTGTCACCAAGAAGCACTAATTCATCCTCTATTGCTGTCTCCTACATGAGCTATATCCAAGTACTCTTGACACTTTAAGTTATCATTCTAAACACAGAAAGCTTCCAATAACCATTAAAACAATCAGATATGATGGTTATATTTGAAAATAAGACACTATTCACAGTAATATTACCAAAAGCCCATTTTCAGGTCACTGTACTTTAATTAAACACAAGCTGATATATAGAAGAGACAGATGCTGATAAAATAGCTTCCAGATTATCAGGGCTTGGAAAACAAAGCCCCTAATATACTAGAACAAGTGTATTATAACACTGAATTTAAAATTCAACTGACCAAGGAGGCCCAGTGACAAACAGACACAGCATATCCTGTTAAGCAACAGCTAACTGAGCAATATTACGAATACTCTGAAAATTGTGACAGGCTAAATAACTAATAAAATACGCTGGCAAAGAGCTTATCAGTATTTTAAAATTGCATTAAGGACTATACCTAGATTAAAATGTGGATAGTGGTGATTCATTATGTCATCGTGAGGACAGGTAACAAAATCAGTCATGTTAAGAAACTAAGATAAACTCATAATAAATGCCAGAAATAAAAGAGAAGCAATTCAAAGTTGCCATGAAAGTTATTAGGGAGAGGAAATCTATCAGAAAAGTAAACAATCAGCACCTGAATTACTCAAAGTGCCATGATTTACTGAAGTGTTCAGTTGAATTACACAAGACATTAGGAAGCTATTTTCTTTGAAATAAAAGAGAGGTGGGTATTTCTAGAAGATCAATAAATTTCTTATTTATACTAATTTTATTTATTATTTTTTACTATTTTTATTTCAATGTTTTGAGATGTGAAATATATAGATTTAACCTGATTAATTTCTCATCTCCAACATCATGCTGAACCAAGCACATTATCTAATTAAGGAAAACAGGTATGAAGAGTCATAAAAAAAATCAGTAATTTAGCTTTTTACAGTATCTAAGGTACAGACTATGACAAAGTTACTGTAATTTTCAAATTGTGCTGCTGCTTCTCTTTCTCAAGTAAGTAAAATTCAATTAAAAATTCTTAAGAAATATTTCCTTTCTCTTATTGTAGAAATATTCTTAAGGAATTTTTTGTATAGCTCATTCAAAGGAGTTTCTTTCTCAGGGTCTAGTATTAGAATAATTTCTGCAGACAGACATTTAGGAGAGGAACACTTTTCCTGCTGTCCTGCTGTAGTGGTCAGGGAGAATAAAAAACCAGAGGACAGAACTGCTCCCTATTACCCCCCACCTGCCCTCCCAGGGGAAGATAAAAGGGGAATAAGGAAGAGAGACTTAAGGGATGGAAACTGAAACTGGAACAAATTTACTGTAACACAGAAAAGGGAGTAACGTGGGGGGAAGAATGGATACAGAAACTTATATAGATATGTACAAAACTGATGTCCATGATGGCAGTAGTAGGTGGCTTCAGGAGAGGGGCCCACAGCTCCCAACAGCACCCAAAGGAGTTGTTGGATTCTGGAGAGCATGTGGTGAGTTGAAGAACCTCTGAGCAGCAGCAGCAGCGAAGAAGACGCTCAGGAAAAAGTGGGCAAAGCTTCTGATTCTCCCGGCTTTTATAGGGTATGGCAGGAAGTGGGAGGGAATACTGACCCCTCTCTGTTCCAACCCTCCCAGGTGCTTCACAGTCCCAAAGACCCTCTCCTTAGTTCCTCTTACAGGTGTCAACAACCTGCTGGGGCCAGTTAAACCATAACACCTGCATATTAAGTTACATTCTTTTGGAATTCCAGTCTCCTGCCTCAGTGCCAAAAGCCAAACGTAGTATCTTGATTTCAGTGACTCTAAATCTAAAAATTAGAAATTGGTGGAAATTGATTCAAAACACTTATTTATAGAATGTATCACTAAGCATGACATTACAGTATGAAGACATTCAAGTAGCAGGGTTCATTGCTCTCAGAATTTTCTAATCTAAATTTTGAAGTTGATTATGATCACACCAACAAAAACTCAATTGGGCATTTACTGAACAAAAGCCTTTTCCTACAACTCATGCATCAGCTGCTGAAATTTTCTTCTTAAGAAAAAAAACCCCAAAAACAAATGTTCACATGAACATAATATTTTTAAAGAAAGAAACTAATTTAGCATGTTAGTCTGTTGAGATATATTCATCATACAACATGAAGTTCTGAAATGTGGAAGAATACATTTTACGAAGTATGTACAGACTTACAGTTTCACATGTAAGACATCTGGTTTCATTAGTTAATGTTCCCTGAAAGATTTCATGAACCCAGGTTGGGTCTGGTGGGCTGTTATTTTCATTGTCGATGTTGCCATTAGGTAGACGACCATTTTGTTTCTCTTGTTTTCTTTCTTCTTGCAAGATATCCGCAACTGTATTTAATAGATAGTTTAAGAACTCATGTGCATCCTGCTGCATGTAGTTATCAAAAAGCTCTACAAGATAAAACAGAAGATTTTATTAACCAGTTAGTGTTATTAAAAAAATCCCACAACTTCTTTTAAATAAGTTGAATTTCAAAATAGTCTTAATTTCTCCTCTTGAATCATTCATGACAATAAAACACCTACCTAAAACGTGTACTTCATAAACTAAGCCAAAATATAGGGTGTGGGAAGAGGAGAGGGCAAGTCAGCTTACATTCACAGAAATCTCTCAGCTGATCAGAGTTAACAGAAGAGTGACCCATTCATTCTGCAAGAAAACTATGAACGACTCCATTAGCTAAACCTAGATGTACATATAGTGCCACCTGAAATGTTATAACTTATGCCATCCAGATGCCAGTCCACAATGATTTGGATCTCGTACAGGGGCTATGCTATTTCTGACAAGCTTAGGTCAATGTCTTGGGTAACATAGGGTATCTCAAATGGCATTACGTGTTGACATTTTCCAGAAATAAACAGAGCACGAATGACAGGAAACATTTAATCATCTATGTGCTCTATCACAGGAAGAACATGAACAATCAATGTTTAAAACATTGCTTTATATAAGGGTTTTACGGTTTTAAGTCCACTGCTGCTCTGTCATAAGCACAGTGTCATCAATACTAGCAATGAAACTAAGAGTAAAAGACATAGATATTTTTAAACAACTATTTTCTTTCTCAAAGCTCTTTAAGTAAGCCAGTATTCATCAAAGCCATGTCAAAAGTTCTAGCCACAGCAAGAGCAAACAGGTTTCAAATTAAGACCTCAAGTAATACATTTGCACCTTTATTACTGGTTTATTACTTGTTGGATAGAAATAATGGATTTACCATGCTTCCTGCTTCCTCAATTTGTCAACATTTCTAAGCACAATAGTTCTAGGATTAATTCAGTGAAAGGAGAATAGTTTCACTGGCACATACTTGCAACATACAGCAATGATACAGATTAGAGTGTAAAGTTGAACTCTCTTTCTTACAAATCTACTCTCTTGTTTACGGTCAAATGGGTACTCCCCAAAAAATATGGTTTAGATGTACAGCCTGGGATATCAACCTGCTGCTACAAATCCTTACATTAGGAATGAACTAAGGAAACCATAAAGGCATTGAGTAAGGTTTAGTAATAGTTTCATGTTCTCTCTCTGGCCAGGAATTGTTATGAGGAAATTTACCTGCCAATTATAAAGCATTCTATATCACATAAGTCTTTTAATCTGCCATTACTTCAATTAATGATAGCTTGCAATATGCTTCTAGTACAAGAATATATTAATAGACTGGCCTTCAGCAGAGGGACGGTTCCCAGGACTGGAAAGGTGAATGAAAAAGATACTCGGTGAAACTTTAGCTTTGAAGTGCAAAACAACACTACACAGAAGCTTTACAACAACATCCTGGAGCAAACTTCACATAGAAAAAAGTTATTAGCAAAGAAAGGATAACTTGATGCTAATCTAGATCGTTTGAAGAGGTTAACTAGTGCAATAGGTCAGCCAAGAGTACGAACTAAGTAGATTATTTAATGAACTACTACATTATTTTTGAGAAGCAAAAGTAAGTTCAATTCTGAATCTAGCCAACTGTAAGGTCTTTATTTAATCAAGTCAAGGCAGAACAAGAGCTACAAACCTCTTGAGGTAAAATAAAACACTTCAGAGATTCTTCACATTGTTACATTACAAACCTCTCAGGGCTATATGCTCAGTCAGTAAAACAGCATTAAGTACAACAGAATGAAAACTACATGTTGTTCATTTTATAATTAGAAGAAATGTAAGGAAACATAACAGTATACCTTCAGCTGACTTCAAGCCAGTAGCTACTTCCCTGCCAGATAAGCTTTAAGGTCATTAATACATGTATGTTGCAAAAAACCTATTGAATAGCAGAATTGTAGTCTGGAATACATTAAGATTATGTTCTCAGTCATCACCCTGGTAAGTTTTGATACTGACTAGAGCAGAATCTAGACTGGTGTTGCATACCTACCTGATTCTTTAAATATTCTTTAAGGCTCAAAATTATATACCTTTACAATAGGCACTTAATAGCATATATAATGTCTATGTAATAACTGCCTGACGATTTAGCAATTTATTTGTACAAAAGGTGAGATTATCATCATTTAAACAAGACCCCAAAAGCCAACAAGCTCAAGTTTCACATCTGATTTCTCTATTGAAAATTTTCCAATTGCCATCTCCTGCTTAGAATGTTCGTGCCATGACATACTTCAGCATTAAAAAGAACACTTTTAGAAGAACTTAAAGGCTGCTGTCATCTGCCTTCTTCTCTCCATTTGAACCATTTTCCGTATTTGTCCTAGTCAACATTAATTGACATAATGAACTATTTCTGTAAATGCATCAGCATATAAGCGTGCTTATCCAAGTACATTTACTGAAGAACTGAATATCAGTTTTCTATTCTGCATATGAAGTGACTACACACTACCTCAGAGCTTTTTTAAAAAAATGTTATTACAACTCATGGCGTGCCTTTGCTGGAGAGGTCACTTCAAATTAGGAATGTCATTACAGTATCTTAGTTTCTGTTTTTACTACAGAGGTGGACATAATAATATTTAAACACTGTTTTAGTCTTGGAGAGATTACAACAGTATGAACATGTCTATTGCAGCAGTGTTAATTATGGTACCTCACACAGTTTATTTAAATCTAGGGATTATTTTTTAGAAAATTTTACGTTATGTTTTTATAGAATTGTATCCAAATTGAGTGGCAGATTACAATATTTCATTTATATTTTACCATCAAACCATCTTCTAAAACGTTTTGACCAATCAGCTCTGCAGACAAGAAACAGGAAATATTAAAAATCCCTGGAAATCTCTTGAAATTTAGGATATTACACTTAAAAAATTAGCCAAAACTACTAAATTATTTTAAAATTCATTAATCCTTTAAAAACTAGGTCAAGATAAGTATTGCATAAATTCTAAACTAATTTTAAAATTTCTGAGTTTTCAAGCTAGAATCCTGCAGGCAAGTCTTAATGTCTTTTCCACACACTCAGTTTGGGAGACCGAGTTTGCATTCAAAGAATAATGTTTTCTTAAACACAGACCAAAAGCTTTACAGTGAATTTTGATTACAAAAATACAATTTATAGAGAGGCAAAATTAGCAAGCACTTCCATAAGCAGCCACTGACAATATACTCGGTTCTACATGAAGAGTGAGAGAGACAAGGATTCTTTCTCAAAACGGCACCAGGGTTACACCCTCATTCTAGGGCCACCTCTTTATACTGCAGGACCAAGAACACTTTCCATGTTTAACAAATATGTGGCTATTCCACTATGTCACCTTCAGAATTAAATCATAATTGCTATGATTACTACACAAGAAGGAGGAAAAAAAAGTTACCATTTTCTTTTCGTAATCTTGTTATAAATTTCTTGGGAGGTATTACTCCAACTTTTTTCTTCTGGGTGGCTATACTATGGAAGAGATCAGCTAAGCACGTAAGGAGATTCTCTTTTTTCCTTGGTTGACTCTTGTATGCTAGGACTTTGTCTCGAAATGGTCGACAAAAATAAAGTGCCTGAAGAACTGAATTGCAGTAGCATGTATTTCCAAACTGTAAAATAAGAGAAATGCTTATTAGTTTACATTGTATTGTTGTAGTGAGGTAAAATTAAATCCAAAGTATAAGAGAATGCATAAGCAGGGGCAAATTTTCTGCATGTCATTTCCTCTTGACTTTAGGACAGTAGAGCATATTTCCAATTTGCAAAGGATTAACAAGTAAGCTGTAAGTAAGTGCAAGAAAAACCTAGGTAAATTTGAACAATAGATTACTTTGACTAATTTGTAAATTTGTAAGTAATATTTTGCATTTACTCGGGTCAAAATGTTCAACAAATACCACCAGTATAACAGCTCCCAAAATGTGCCCAGGTAAAAATATCTACCAATCTCCCACAAGTCAGCCACAACAATAAAGAACAGGCACAGCATGACCTCATACCGCAAAGAAATTCAGCTGTAAATTGAGAGCTTCTCAGACACTACAGAAATTGGTTTCTCCAAATCTTAATAGTTGTGATCAAAGTCAGAAATAACTGCTTTAACCTGTTACTACAGTTTCAGTTCGCATTTTAGGGTGACAGGCTTGGCATTCAGGAGTTCTCTTAAAACAATGAAATATGGCTTATTTAGGATTCGGAGCTAAGGCACAGGTGGTAGTTTCAACTCAAGACTAAAAGGAGAGGGATGTACACTCTGGGGTGTGTATTCTGAAGAAGGCAAGCCACTGAATTGGCACAGGGCAAGCAGAGTCAGCAAAACCAGCATCTGTAACCCACTTTGCACAGGGGCACTCCAGACGTCCCTCTTCCCCAGACTCCTTCCAGCTCTTAGGCACCTGAGTCTTGTGATCACTGTCTCCAGCTCACCCCAACACTGCACACCTCCCCATCACCTATGTGCAGGCATCATGAGCTGTCAGTGGATAGAGCCATTCTCATTTTATGCTGCCCTTCTCCAGTGAAACCTACTGTCAAACACTGAAAGTGTGAGAAAGACCTTTATAAGGCCCTCAACAAGTAATCCAACCTTTCAGCTGCAGTCATTCAACCTGCAAATTGAAGCCCGCACCTGCTACACACATTCTGTAAAATGTAAAAATAATGTTCACATTTATGCTTTATATAAACATAGTAGCATACATGGCTAGCAAATTCTCAAGACTATATTGTGGCAGGGAGACTGTTATATATAGCAACAGTGCATTTAGAGATATTTTCAGAGCAGGTTCTTTAAACAAAGAACTAAAATCTTTTATCTCTTAGGAATAGCAAGGAAGTAACTGGGTTTTGCTCACTCCTGATTAAGACAATGACAAACAAGAGAACCAATTTAATCAGAAAACTGGAAAGCAAATTGTTTTCCTTTATTTTAAATAAATGAAATATAAATAACTACATTCTAAATATCCAAGACACACTCAAATAATGAGTAAGAAGTGTATTTTTACAAAAATATATTAAGTCTTTAGCTCTCTGTTGCAAGAAAGAGGGGAAGAAAAAGAACAGTTTCCCCACACTCTCCATATTAAAAAGTGAGAAAATTACCGCCCAGTATTTTTATTACTTTAAGCTAAAGAGAATGCTTGTATTAGCTTCTTTGTGGTCCAAATCTGCACTAAAGCAGGTCAATTAACTTAAGCAGAAAACCAAGGCTTTTTTCCTCACAAGGAGCAGATGAGATCACACCGTAGTTATGACAAAACCTTTAATATTGTAAGCTAACTCTTTATGAGTTTGCAACTAGAATTAGCTATAAATGGAAAACTACATTAAAATGTTAAGAACGTTCTTAAAATTAAATTAAATGGGAAAAGTGCTAAAATTTCTACAGCAAGTGTCAAAAGATGAAAAGGCATCAAATGAGAAATTTAATAACATTTCAATTTTAAAAAGGAAGAGTCTGATGATGAATTAATTAGAATGGCAAACATACAGTGAGAGACGACCAAAATATGGTGCAAGAGAGAACTCAGAACACTCAACAAAATTCAGGAGATGAATTTATTATAAATGCATGTTAACCTACATGCCTGTGGAAAGAAAGTAAATGCAAGCAGATCAAGTTCATGAAAGGTTTTCTTCAACCTAATTCAGAGATAGGAGGCAACAGAAATTGTCTGAAAAAAGACTCCTGAGCATCAATCTTGGTCACCTAAAATGTTTAAAATAAAAAATTCCATTCCTTAGAAGATTTTAATTGTACAAGTACTAAAGAACAAGGGGGTAAAAAGGGTGGGGAGGCTTCTAGACTATGCAAATGAGGAATCTGTTACACAAATAAATGCTGGTCTTATGACCATTATTACTTTTCTTCCCATCTTTGACTCCAATACAAAAGCACACCTCTCAACTCCTCCCACCTCTACTCTGCCCTGGGGAGGCCACATCTGGAATACTGCACCCAGTTCTGGGCTCTCCAGTTCGAGACAGGGAACTACTAGAGAGTCCATCAGAGGGCAACAAACATGACTGAGGAGCATTTCCCTTATGAGGAAAGGCTGAGAGAGCTGGGACTGTTTAGCCTGGAGAAGGCTGAGGGGAGACCTTATCGATGCCTGTAAGTATCTAAAGGGTGGGTGCAAGGAGGATGGAGCCAGACTCTTTTCAGGAGCTCCCAGTGACAGGACAAGGGGCAATGGACACAAGCTGGAACATAGGAAGTTCCATTTGAGTATGAGGAAAAACTTCTTTACAGTGAGGGTGACAGAGCCCTGGAACAGGCTGCCCAGAGAGGTTGTGGAGTCGTCTTCTCTGCAGATATTCAAGACCCACCTGGATGCAGTCCTGAGTAATGTGTTCCAGGGGATCCTGCTGTAGCAGGGGAGTTGGACTAGATGATCTCTACAGGTCCCTTCCAACTCTGACAATTCTGTGATTCTGTGAAGTTTGCAACCACGATCTGTATGTTTTGTAGTAACAGTGTAACAACACCACTCTGAAATATCAAAATGCATGCACTGAAAGCCCCTCAAGCTATTCAAATCTAGATGGATATTTACCTAGTTTCTATAAACTATAGAAACTAGCTGGCTTTTTTAAAAATATAATTGTAGGAAAATGAAATGCTTGTTTAGTCTGCCTGAAAGTAACCGTAGAAAACTCTAAAAAAGACTGTCACTGTAATTTTATACCTGAAAATGTCAGCCTGTACAGGCTACTGAAACTCTTCAGCCTCATTCAGAAGAAGGCAACAGACTATATCTAGTAGAGTTATTTTAACCTTCCTTGTTTCTGTGAGGAAACACGTGCACATCTAAGAAAAGTAAAACAACAGCGACGACGTGGTCTTCCATATGCTTCCCATAATTGCCCTTTCTTAATTCTTCCTCTACCTCTCAAATTGGTCTTGCAGCCCATCTGCTGAATAATTCCTAGATTCCACCACAAAGACGGAGAGGAGATAAGACAGTGCTTCTGTCTTCTCTTCTTTTATACTACCTCTGGACATTTAGCATTGATAGATCTCTTATTTCAGAACATTCACCTTGAACTAAAATCCTGTCCTGCAGTCCAGACATCTCAAATGGCTAGCTATCACACAGTTAGAAGAGAGCTATTGATTTCCACATTATGTCAGTTTCTTGTAAAATTAGGACAAACAAAATCAATAGACAAATTAGAAAAAATTAGTAGTAAATGTTAATGAACTTTTAAGAGCTTCACTTCTTGTAACTGCTATAAAACAGTTAGAGAAATCAATGAAGGCAAAAATTGTGATTTCTACTACTTCCGAATCTAATAGTAATCTTAATGTGTTATCTAATTAGCTATTATTTCTTTTAATTATCATTAGCACTGCTGTTCTTTCTGAATGGCCATAGTTTTGCTAATGAAGAGGTCATTACCTTTCCTCTTCCTGACAGATTTAAATTCTGCAAGCTTAGTACACGTTGATGGCATATACATATGGTGTTAGCAAACACAATCTGCACAACTAAGCAACAACACAACTGATTTCCTTAGCCAAACACTGTACCTGAAAAACACAGAACCAGTGTGATATAGATGTAATGGAAATCTATTTTACTGTTTGTTACCATTTATAAATAAATCAGTCCATAAAACTTTTTTGTTTGAAGTTAAAATAAGCCACATTCCTGTACTACACAAAAAGTTAAGAGCACTCTGAGGTATCTTAGCTGCCTGGCTCATATGTTTATGGTTGAGGGTAGTGACCTAAAGACAGACATCCCCTCAAATTTCCTACTCCATCTGAACCACAGAAAGCCACAACCTGTAGATCTTTCACTATATACTAGCAAGACTGTCCTTTACTGAAATTTTCCTTAAGGGTACAAAATATGTAAAACTTCAAGAACAGGCATACAACACAATTCTATTGTTAAGTCTTCAATCCTTTCTGGACTTGGAGAAGAAATGAGGAAAACAGGTTATCTGTCAACAGAATAACAGATTTGACAAAAGAACAGTCTTGTCAGAAAGCCTAACCTCTGCTACAGATCTAACAAGTATTAATAGTTAAGCTACTGTATTTTCTATTTTCAGAGAAACAATGTGTTACTTTGAAAGTATTTCAATTTTAAGGAGAAAGGAAAAAAATTACTCATTTAAGTAATGGCATTTGAGACAAAAGTAAGTCCGCTTGTCAGCAAGAGCATTTACTGACTATACAGCACACAGTTTCATTGTAGACTCTTCAGCCATAGTGCTAAGAACCTAGAGGTAGTCATATGTTATAGTAGTTGGACAGCATTACAAGTAATTAGTTTCATTAAGAACACAAGATGATAGCTTGTGTTAAGCCAGCTTGGTTTATATCCATACGCTCTGAAGCTTTAGTAAATAATTTGATATTTCATTTCAGAATAATGCAATTTTTACCAAGATATACTTTTCATTGGTAATATTAAAAATTAAAATTTAAAATACTCCCTAAAGCTAAGGATTTAATTGAACAATTTAGTATATTTTTTCCACCACTGCATTCCCACTGGGATCAGTATTTTTAAAAAATCTTAATACAACTACCACATATGAACATTTCACATTATCAACAGTCTTCGAGATTTTTTTTTCTTTTACTATATTTATTCATTATATTCACTTGGATTGGCACACTATGAACTACAAGCTACATATTTGAACAGCTTTTTTTTTAAGACACATTTTAATAGCAAGAAAGTGATCTTTATAATACCCTAAAATTAAGTATTAAATACAGATTAAATAAATCAATTTCAACAATTATTTCAGTAGCATATTTCAACAAGTATACTGAACACTGAAACATATTCAATGACTGTATCTCTCAGTGTTTTCATTATTCATGCAGTCACAGTATGGTAATTTAACAAATACACTCCTAGCATTTTAAAGCAATGAAGTTATAGATTCAAACTTACATTAACCAAACCAAAATAGTGCTCATTGACTGGAAATTGTTCCGGACCAATCTCTTTCTCCAAAGCTGAGGCATTGGCGCCCTAGAAAAATCAAAAGCAGTAAAATATTAGTGTTGCAACTATGTACACAGTGAATTTAACTGGTTGAGAAAAACAACTGAAGTTTTTTAGGCACAGATAAATGACCAAAACCAACCAACAAAAAAACCCCACAAAACCAACCCAAAACCAAACACCACCCTGGTCATAGTTAGTCTTGCTAACACCTAACCAGTATCTTCAGATCTCAGACCATAAGCTTACAAAATTTACTTATACTGAAGCTCTCTCCAGTCAGCAGGGAGAAAACCAAAAATAATAGAGAGACTAAATATTGAAAACAGATTAAATACCTTCCTTTCTCTAGTATGAAGGGGGACGAAAGCAGAGTTTGCAATGCATCTCAACAATAATACCTGGCAAATTCACCAAACTTGTTTAGTCTATTGCTTAATGCAAAGACAAATATCCTCGGAGGGAGGATAATATTAGCTATGAATGCAGAAAAATCAGTCCTTTGAGTTCTCTGTTGATTTGCACTCTCAGGATGTTTAGATTGTCCACAAAATCATTTCACACAGTTCTTAAAGCAGACAGCAAGTCTTCCATGCCATAACTTTATACTTATATAGTTAGAATAAAGAACCTAACACTCTTCCACCACAAGAAAATTATTTCAGCATAATCCACAACACCTTAGAGATCTGCGTTTCCAAACATGTTCTGTTCAAAAACACTTCAAAGTAAGTTACCTGATTTTCAGGTATTTTCATGCAATAACACTGTTTCAATGTTCTATATTTATTTTCAGACTGTATTAATATAGTATTGCAAACCAGGTGATAAAAAGCCAAAGGGTGAGCTCCTCTTAACAAGTGCAATTGTCATGTTGTGTAGCACATTTCAGAGAAAGTTAAAAAGTGCAGATTGCTTAAAGGAAGAGAAAGAACTCCTCTACTCACACTGAAAATATACTTCAAAGTGCTTTGCTAAATATCTTGAAGTTTGTAAAATTAAAAGACAACACAGTACAGCTAGTGTTGGTGCACATTACAAATGCTGCAGCCTTTGCCCAACACATCTGTTTGGTCTGATCCTCAAAAAGAAGTCAGAGAAGGTAACTTTGGTTACTTTGTGGTTCCAGCCAATGGCTATTTACTGAACAAATACAATAAACATTGAGTTTCAAAGGAAAGAGAAGTTTCTTATTTAGAGACAGAAAAATGTCTACTCTTGAAAATTCAGGGAACAAAAAACCCTAGCTATCTATAAGCTTTTATACTGATTGCTTTTAGAAAAAAAATGCATATTTATCCAACGCTAAATCCCTTTTGTTGCATGCAACACTGACATATATGTATCGCCTCTGTCAAGCCAATACATGAGCATGAATATTCCTGTCTAAAGTCAGGCCTACATGAAGCTAAAATAGCACATAGTACACAGCAAAGAAACTTCAAAACAGACCACTCCTTCCCAACAAGTTATTTCTTTACACCAAAGATGTATCAAATAGCCCTGGACATAATAACAATAAAATCAAATCAAAATCACAACCTGCATTAAAAGCAGCATTCAGGATTTCACAGATTAATTACAGATAAGAGGAAGGGGGACAGAATTAAAATTAGGACTGTATAAAAATGTGCAAAATTATAATTAAACTCTATTATGTTGTATGTGCCATGTCACAATTGTGGTTACACAGTCCAGTTTTGTAGTTCTGAAACTGGAAACAGAGGGCCATAAGCCCATTAGGAAGTAACAACTCTAACCAAAAAACAGCAAAAGATCCTGTAACCCCACACTTGAGACACTACAGCTCTGCTCCATGCATGACATAAACCCAGCTGATTTTTCACCAGTCCTATCCCTTGCAATTATGACAAAGCCTCTCCTTTACTGAGTTTTGTCTGCAGGGCTTGCTACTTTAGAAGCTGTTCTCCAATCACACTGTTGGTGCAAAGGGATATAAAGCCTCACTGAAGATTAAAGCACTCCACAACTTCTGAATACTTAAGTCTTGGAGCCTTGTTGAAATACACCCATAAGCTCTGGTAAGGTGGGTACTATTTACAAATAAACTAGAAAAAAACAAAGGAACTGTGAATGTCTTTTTATCCTATTTTAAAAATCTCTACTTCTTTAAAAAGAAATAAATTCAAGTGCAGGCTTTTAGGAAATTCTCTTTTCAAAGAAAGGGTGGTGCAGCTGCTTCATTCTGCCTTTGGAAGGAAGACTGTTATAGTATAAACTTTGATGTTTCTGCTTTGTATAGACCTGAACACTGGATTTAGTTTTCTGGTGCAATAAAGATCCTGACCTGGCAATTAGAAAGACATGCTAAGATACTCCGCTATAGTTATGGTTTTCTGATTATTCAAGGCTGTTTGATTCAGGGCTTAGACTTTCACATGATTTGAAAGCATGACATTACCCATCTCTGAATGCAGTTGTTTTATTACTACAAACCAGCATGAATGTTTTACACCACTACAAAACCCCTCAAGCTACTTAGACTTCCCTCTACAGCTCCCTTTTTGTCTATCACAAAATACGTTATTCCTCCCCTCCAAGTTATCATTTATACTGTACACAGTGTGCTAGTTGAAGAATGAAAACATATAATGCAGCAGGGGCTTGAGAGTAATCTAAAATGCATGTTCACACCTGACACAAAAAAGCTATTTTAAAACCCAACTATTCCTCGCTACAATAGGTTTCCCATTCAGCACTACAGCACACACTATCCACCCCAGCTGACTTTTTCATTATGCAATCACAGTTGCAGAGGGGAAGCACTGCAACACCCCATTATGGTACTGTGTCATCTTCTGGACAAGAGGGCAGCAGAGGTTTAAGGCAGAAGGAAAGCCTGTTTCTTTCCATCAGCCAAGACCGACTTACTGGGTTTGGGACATAGACCTTTCTTCCTCTGCTTACTTTACTGGGATGTGCAAAGGTGCCAAGATGAACCTCTCTTTTTTGGGTCTCACTGAACAACCCATACAAGAGGTGCTCAGTCCCCACATAGCAACTTGGCTTTGACATAGTGCAGGGGACAGAAAGGAACATCATCAACTTTGCTAGCTTCCCTTCTCTTCTGAAGAACACACAAGGCCACTAACCAGTAGTGAGAGGAACAGAAGTCCAAAAAACCTGCTATCGCAATAGAACTGGCATTTACCAGTTTTTGCATCACGTCAGTATAAAACCTATAATATACCAACCACTGCTCAACATTACCCCCCTTCCAGCACAGAGATAATTATACAGCATACAGAACACAGAATACAGAAAGTATTTGTCATAGTTAACACAGTGGAAAGATCAGCAACTAAGGTGTGTATACAAGAACATAATATGAAATAAAAATTTGCTTAACTTCTATTTGGTATTGAAAGTGATTCTGGAAACAATGTTAAAATATCAATTATTAGAAAATAATGTTCTTACACATGAGGAAAGTTTGGCATAAAGCTGAACTAGAGCCCATTTCATCTTATGTTTAAATGTAAACTCTATGAGGTAAATTATTTATGAGCAATCTTAGTTTAAGCACATTCAAATCATTTGAACACTTACTGCTTATCTCCCCCATCAACTTAAAGAAAAAAGCTATATTATCAATTTATCAAAGATCCCCTTGGATGCTAATTCCTTACTGAAGGGACAAGAAACCTTTTTTACCATGGAAGTCCCTTAATTAAGCTTCTCAAATTTATTTTCAAAACAGCTCAATGTTTCTATAAATTAACACATTTAACATTGACCAAATGAGAGCTTTATTTCAGCTTAGTAGAATTAAAGCCCAGAAAACACAGTGAGAGAAGAAAGTGTAGAATCCTAAGTACAGTTGAATTTTCCTCATTTTAAAATTTTACAGATATACATTCTCCCAAAGTTCTAAAATAAACTAAACAAAAACCCCTGACACTGTAGATTTCGATGGAAAGGAGTGGGAAGGAGGAATGTGCAGAGATGTGATGGAGTTTTTGTTTGATTGTTTAGTTTTTCAATTGCTAAAACGAAAATATTTTTTAAATACTATTTTTGTTTTTCTTATTGCCTTTTCCCACTGCCTCAGAGGTCACACTATTTTGGTGCTATGTGTCAAACTATTACTCCTGGGACACACTAACAGCTAACATATGCATAAGCTAATGGGAGACAATCTGTAAAGCAAATCAGTTGGTACTTATAATCTGACATACACATTTTGGGTTTCAGAGGGGTTTTCCCAGATTAGTTCTAGGCTGGCTCTGTGACTGAACACCCAGCTGCAGCTGAACTGTGTTGCTTAATTTATTTTCCGCCACAAGGAATCTAATTTGTGCATTCTAAGACCACTCCAAGATGCAAACCACAGTATGATAAATTGGGATGTCTGGGAGAATCACTTCAGAACTGCACACACCTTACTTGAACTAAAACACTAATGAAAATGCACCCAGCACTGGGCTAAATACACAACTTGATTATCTAACTATGAAATACTTGGATAGCTTCAGTTCATATTTTTAAAATACTTAGAATCAGTGATATGTGCTCAACTAACTAGCTGAAGACATAGTCCTGTATATTCTAACCATGAGCAGCTAAGACAAAAGGTTTTTTTATTGAGTACAAAGTAAAAACATCTCTGCAAGGAAAATGATAGCATAGCACAAAATTACCTTCTCTTCACATTTGGTATGTCTACCACACCCATCCTCTTAAGCCCTACTGAGCATACACAACATACTTTCCTTTAAAGCAGCTAGATACAGCTATACTTCCTCCTGTTTTGAATACTGAAGTAAAAGACAAGTTACTCTCACGTTAAGAAGCTCAGAATGGGTCTTCAAAACATGAAAAGATGTATTGATGCTTCTACAATTCTTCTCCAATTGCTGCCAGTCTTAGTCGACTAGCTGTACAACACAGAAGGAAATCATATTGCTAAAAAAACAAGACTGCCAACAAGTTGTTTTTATACTGTATAGTTCCAGAGAATTCCTGGAGTAATGCTGTTAATGATATCAGGTGCCTTTGCTTCAGTTTCTTCTGATCAGATGGACTTTCAATAGCATTGGTGCAATGTATCTCATAACAGTACTAAGTGGGGTCCCAAAAAGATCAAAACTACCACTTTCAAAGACTTTTAGTTAAAAAGGTTGAACTACACTAGCAGACAAGACAGGAAGTCTGTCAGATGGATTAAAGAGAGGATCTGATGTTGACTTTAGAAAACTTTCACTACCTACAAAGTACAGAGAGTCACAAGCATTATATTAATCTTTTAGAAAAATCAGAATTATCTAATCACCCACAATACAGAGGGAGAAGAAATAACAAAGAAAAAAGGAATAAAGTTACTTAACTGCTTTTGTTGATAAACGGCACACCGTCGCATGTTTCACATATTTTTTAAACTCACATAATTCCTATTTCATAAAAGAAGTATGCTGCTTTTTATAATTTCCCATTTTCATGGAATTATGAAAAGAATTTGAGTTTATGAAAAATGGTAAAAATGTTCTCTGGTTCTGGTCTACTATGTAGAGCCATTCTGGTTCTATGCTACAAAAAGATGTCAATTTTTTTTTCCCCCTCAACTGAAAAATCAGACAGACCTTATTGAAATAAATAATTTGTTAAAAGCATTTAACTTTTGCAAACTTCCTAAGCAGAAAACAAAAGCTATCCCCTATACAAGGCTTTTATACACCATCTTTGCTTTATCAAAGTTGAAAAAGTAGATTAGAGGAATTAATGGACAGACATCCTTTTACCACATTTTTACTGAATAATTCCTAGACATTTTAATGCAAATTAGTTGTTTTGGTGGTTTAAAAAGTAAATACGAAGACTTTATATATGACCAATCTAAATATTCAAGCTTTTTTAGTAATGCAGTCGGTTATCCCCACTGACACAGCTAAAAATTATGTCAGCAAGACTAGAGTCCAAGTTTGCGTTTCGTTGTCTCTTTGTGCTTAGAACATGCAAGATAAATCTATGTATCCATACAGGTAAAAAGAAAAAGGAACATTTATATAACTTAAAATATCCAACCAAGTAATATGCCCAAAACATAATTCTCGGTGCTGCTATAAATACTACTTTACAGGTTCCCAACTTCAGGATTTTTTTTTCTTCGTGTCTCACATTTGACATTTCTTGTATATTTATTCAGAGTCAAATTCATAATTTGATGCAAATTTAAAACAAATTTGTCCAAGTTAATTAGTATGCTAAGCAGTGTTACAAATCCAGCTTTTTAAAGAGCAAATGTACAGACTCATATTTTATTACCATATTGTAGCATGTTACATCTACAAAAATGATGACAAAAGCCACAATCATGCTTACGCCTTAGTGTCATATTGTTCTGGTTTGGTCTGGTGGGTTTTTGGTAGTGGGGGAAGGGCCACAGGAGTGGCTCTGGTAAGAAGATGAGCAGCTCCCCCTGCTTCCAAAACCCAGCCAAAAATCCCTTAGAGTGGCAACAGACGTACGAAAGAACAGCTGTAACACCTGAGCAGAGCTAGGAGGGGGGAAGAAGAGCAGTGCTGGAGGAGGAAAGCAGTGCTGGTGGTCATTGAGGAAGAAGGGGAAGAAGGTGCCCAAGCAGAAGTTTCCCTGCAACCCATGGTGAGATGGCAGCTGTGCCCCTGCACTCGTGGACAAACGTGGTGGGACATTCCCTGAAGGCACCAGGAGGGGTGAACTTGGCCAGTGGACTTGGATTTTGTGGCCAGAGGATTTGCTGCCTGTGGACTCTGACTGTGCAGCTTTGGAAGACCCCGGTGCCAGGGGAGTTTGTTCCTGAAGCAGCCCCTGACTCTGTGGGAAGCCCAGGCTGGAGCAGCTCGGGACCTTGTGGGAAGGATTCATGAAGGAGAGGTTCGTGGAGGACTCTCTCCCATGGGGAAGCAGGGAAGGAGTGTAAGGAATCCTTCCTGAGAAGGAGGAAGTGGCAGGGACCTCCAGCCTGTGAACTGACTCTAACCCCCATCCCCCCCATGGGAGGGACCCCATGGGAAAGCAGGGAAGGACCGTAAGGAATCCTCCTTCCTGAGGAGGAAGGAGCAGCAGGAACCACCAGCCTGTGAACTGACTCTAAACCCCATCCCCAGTCCCCCTGTGCCGCTGGGGGGAAGGAGGGAGAGAAACCGGGATCAAAGTGATTTGGGCCCAGGAAGAAGGGAGGGGTGGGGTAACATATGCAAGCCCTGCTCTGTGTGTTGTCTGTGTCCTGTGTGTGTTTGCTTCGTGTGAAATTAAATTATCATTTTTTCCCCAAGGTGAGTCTGTTTTGCCCAGGGCCTTAATGGGTGAAGAACCCTCCTTGTCCTTTTTCTCCACCCAGGAGCTTTGTCCTCATCCCAGAGTGTGTGTGTGGGGGCAGAGTTGAGTAAGCAGCCATGAGGCTGTTCCTTTTGTTGTTGTGTTGGGCCCAAACTGACATATTTATGATGAAATATGGTCCTGATAAGAACTCCAACAGATGAGTGAACCTCCCTACTGTGGTTTTAGCTCTTACCCCAACTGTTTAATACATACTTCTCCAAACTTAATGTGCTTGCCACAACAGAACACGTGCCTGAACTCTCCAGTCCACTGATCAAGGTGGATTCTGGTCATGATGCCAGAATGAAATGCAGTGGCTGAGACAGAGCACATGTTCTATCTTGCCAACTCTGCCACATGGGCAAGTCAAGACAGTTGGATAAAGGAGTACCATAACACTGCTGTTTTCTCTGTTATTTTAGTTCTCTCCTCTGCTTTATTTTCTACCACCTCCTCACTTTGCAGCTAAGGTTCCATGTATTTTCTTTACTTGCTGAAACTCTCAATTCTCACTTCTTCCAGCACAAGTCTTCTGTATACTCTTTCCTGCAGAATCTGTTAACCTGATCATCAATGTTTACGTATTCTAATTCCTGCTTCGGAGCAGACAGTGCAATTACAAGGAACAGGAGTGACTACATCATATCCATTTCCGGCCAACTGCAAACTCTGGCAAACATCAATTTACATTAAGTGCAGATTTCACAATCAGGTTGAAAACCTTATTGTAAACAAATAATTCTTTAAGCAGTAAATATATGTCCATATATGTATACCTGTATCAGAGTTAGTTGTAAAATTTTCCTGCAATAGTTTTCATAAAGCCTCTCTGCTGTGACATCTGAGGTACGTGCACTCCAGGCTTCCCTCAGCTGGGCACAAACAGGGTCTGTTTCCTCTAAGATGTCTTTTTGCCCCAAGATGCTTGCTTGAACATGAGTAACTGTATCTCTTCACCCTTGTCAAATGTGCCTGAAATGGGCCAAAGGTTAGTGGTGACAGCACCCTTAGACAGGAGACAGGAAGGAAAAGGACAACAGCTAGCCATTCAGCATGATTCGTCAAGTCTGACTCGTTCAAAAAAAAGCCAAAAATTTGAATTGCAAGATATACACAGACTTCTCACGCAGAACATACTATTACATCCTACAAGCCACATCTAGATTCAAACTATGTATTTGATGTCAGTGTTGGGGGGACAAATCAATCACTGAAGACAATCAGTGACACTGACCCTGTATATAAGATGCTAAACGGGCAGAGAGAGAAGCGAACACATAAATACCTGAAACCCGAAGACAAGGTTTTCATGTCTAATGCTACAACTTCTAGATTAGCATTGTTTTTAAATTTCATTACACTTTTTCAGGTTGTGCTACCTATTCAGCCAGTTTCTAGAAGAAATTGAAAAACAAGTACTACTACTACTACAGCTTCCTTCTGTATGTCTGAGACTGATGTCTTTGTAGCTTTTTGTAGATTTAAAGCTACAAAGATAATTTCTATCTTCTCTTTACTTCAGCTACTGTAAGACTTGATACATTTCAACTTCCAGCAAGTGTTTGTTTGATTCTAGACAACAGAAGCAAAGGACTCAATTCAATCTCCATTTTATGGTCAGTGTAGTTTGAGGCACATCTTCATTGCAGTAAGCATGGGCTACTTTACCACTTCTCAGCAATGCATAAAAACCTGATATAGTTCAGTCAGGTTTGCACGGAAGAGAGTAGAAGACTAAGTTCTACTTTTACTGCAAAGGACAAAGCTTTAAAACAAACAAAACCCACTCACTTTCATTCTCATCCATATTGCAAGAAGAACAGTGACTGAAACACTTAAGGGCAAAGATATTTTGCTGTGCTTTTCCACACTCTCCAGCCATGAGCACGAGGAATCACAGCAGTGGCGATGAAGAGCAAGGAAGTCCAAGGTAGCTCAAAGGGGATACAACACTAGGAGACAGCACCACAGGAAGAGCTCTGCCACCACTAGTACGAACACTGCAGTATAGACTAATGCAACAATGATGCATACAAAAAACCCAATATTTTGTAGACATTATGTGCTCTTGTAAATTCATCTCAAAAGACACCATGGCTAACAAACTAAAAATACTGGATATCACAATTCACTGTACCCACACAGCCTGCCAGTACTTGAAAATGCAAGATATTGCTTTCTAATACTCAGAGCTTGAACAAAGATAAGATGTATAAAATAGAATTGAGTCAGCAGAAGTGAAGCTTAAATTTGGATACCAAGTCATGAAATACACCATGATGTATGAAGAGCTTCTTCAACATCGTTCCAGACTGCTCTGTTACAGATTGCAAGTGTACATGCATGTTAGGTTTGTGTAGGCACGAACAGTCTTTTGACAAAAACTGCCTGATACTGGCTTCATACTAACCAAACACAAGAAGAGAAGAAACAGCCTGAGAGTTCTTGTAAGAGGCACAGGGAAAGGCAAGAAAAACTTGCAAGAATATTTAGGAAGTTGTCTGGCAGTTTATCAAACAGTGGACTGACATCAAGAAAAATTGCTAGAAAAAAAATAGTATTACTCAGCAGTTAGATTCCTTTTTGGTTTTGAAAAACAGATGCTTAAACATGAGTATATTACTCTTGTTAAAATTAAAAAGATCTGCATGACCATACCCACACTGTTCTAAAAAACTCCACAGTAAAAAACAAGTGCTTCTTCACACTATCTTTACTGGAATATTTTAAGCACAACCTTGTATTATCTATAAAGTGTTGAAAAAACTTTTACAGCAGCTATCCTATGCTAGCTGTCCCATCTCCCAGTAATATCAAAGCTCATGCATCAGAAAGACATGGGAAAAATCTTATGCCTGAAGTTTTTCCACCTGAGTGCACATGACTATGATTGGACAGATAATACCTAACTGGCATCAGAATGCCAGCTTCATGGACATGGACACTTTGGATAATCAAAAGATTATTTTTAGTTGAAAAAAATTGTTTCAGGATTGACCTAAATGTCAATGACAAAATAATATTATTTCTAATAACCATACATACAGAATAATCTTAAACTAGCTGCTTAGCCAGTCCAGGCCTACAACTTCTATGCTTTCAAGAAGCAGAAAAAATTACGTTCCATATTGGCCCTAAATCAAGAGGCCGGCACTGAATGGATGTTCACACTAGTGGTCAACTGTGGGTGAAAACATGTTAGCTAGAATTGCAATAGAACAAGATTGTTCTAGCTCAAGGATCAATCACATTGATTCCTCAACAGTCTGACCTACAATCTAACAAAAATACCTGAAGTACATGGTGTTTGTCCTTCAACAAGTGGCCATATAAAGAACCTGGTACACAACTCATTAATTCACGTCAGACCCTCCAATTCCAAGTGAAAATATCTGAACTCCCACATCACAAAAAAATATTACTCCAGTTGATCAACAACAAGGTAAGTAATCTGACCCCACGGGCTCACAGACATTCATTCAGAATTGTCATGGGCCACCTCTGATACGTCTGAGATGTTAAAGCCTCTCTGCAGCAATATTTATGAAAACCATCAATCAGCTTCCAATAACAGGAAATGTGTGTCTCGCTGTGTGACATTACGGTGGGCAACAGTCCCAACTCAGCAAATTCACAAACCAGAAGACAGGGTGCATTTTCCCCCTTCCCCCGTGAAAACAGATTTAGGAACAAGAACTTTCATTCAGCTACAAAACAGACAGAAAACGGCACAAACGCAGGATCTCCAGCTGTGACCCCTCAAGACATCTCTTCCACGGCAAACAGGGACTTCTGCTGAATGAGGGATATTTCCTTCCTTGAATTCAGCATCCCCTCTTTAAAAGCCCCCAAGACAGCTCTATCGCATCCGTGTACCTGCTTGTAGCTCTGATTTATCAACAGAGAGAGTAATGAAAAAGGAATAACTGGAAGAAGCCTCCTATCAGGACGCGGATCGATGCAAACAAGTTAAGTCACAGCTCGGGCGGGATGCGAGCACTTTTCCGGGTAACCAGAGGAGCCCTGGTCCGCTGCCGAGCGCGGCAACCAACCCCCCCAGGAGGAAGGCACCCGAAGGCTGGGGACAATTACCAAGTGGATCGGGGGAAGGAAGGCGCTTCTAGAAACCCTGCCCTGAGAGCAGCAGAGCTGCAACAAGCAGCCCCGAAACCGAGCGAACCTCGAGTCCCAGGGCTCTCCCTCCCCGCTTCCCGCACACTTGGAAGGACAAGCGCGTCCACGGCACCCGCCCCCAGCCCACCCCAATCCCACCCGCGTCT